GCAGAAATGAATACAAGGAACAATCAGCTTTGTAGAAGAGGATCTGTGAGTTACAGTGGTTCACTAACTGCCTGCGAGTCACCATGTCATCATCTTATGGAAAAAGGTAAACTGGATAATGTGGAGACATGGGCAGTAATCCTTCCATTCTGCTCACAGGAAGGCAGTAGAGATGTTGAGTGTTCTAGAAAGCATGACTTAAAAGGACAAATTAAAGGAGACTGGAAGGAGGAGGAGGTAGAAGTAAGATCTGTTAACAGTCCTCACATAAAAAACCTCTGCGGGAAGGAAGAATCCCATTTCCATGTCTCAGGTAGTAGGACAAGAAGACATGAACTTCACTTGCAGCCAGGAAGATTCACATTTGGCATTTCTGATAGTAAGGGAAGAGAAGAACTAATTTGACTGTTTGTTGTGGTCACCACTGACAGTGTTTAGTAACAGATTAGACAAACCTCTGTGAGGGTGCTGCAAGTAGTATTGATCCTGCCCTGGGACGGGTAGGGGACTAAATGAATCCTGAAGATGTTCTCTGGGGTTAAGATTCTTTCAGCCTGTACCGAGCTCCTTGTGGGTGAGGCTACTGGTAGTACATGGAATCATAGAATCATACATAAGCAAGTCAGATTGGTTTAAAGCTGAGATCAGAGACACTGCATCCTACCTACATTCATGCTAACTCCTCTGGAACAACACATCAACAAAACAGTACCTCCTGGATCACCAGCGTCACATGGCAGTTATTAATATATTACCAGAATACTCTCAAATATATTTGCCATGTGTTCTGATTCCGGATTTGTCTTCCCTCAGATTTCCAATGCAATTTCCTTAACTTCATTTGAAAATACTTTAAAGACTATTTCAAGAACAACAGATCACTAAAATACCTGAAACATCTGTGTGAATTCTCATCCAATTTACTACATTGGAGATCTACTGTCAGTTCCAGTCAGTAATTGAGGTACACTCTTCCTCGGCAAAGTATCTCCTTCCATTAGATTGTATCTATTACATCTGTACGTACCACTGAGAAACCAAAGCCTCCAAAGCTACAACCAAAGAAATGCTGGTACCTGCTGCAATTCCTCCCAGATGCCTTTCACAAACTGTAGGCAGAAGCAACAGTTCTTCTGAGCTAATCTCTGTTTACAGTATTCTTCTGTCTCCGTCCTACCTCAACAGTAGCCTTTTACATGCAGTAGTTGAAACCTCACTGCTTACTTCTGCTAAGTTGATTAATAAAAATTATTTATTGCACAAATCCTTTCTGTTGACAAGGTAAAATGGAGCCTCATCTTTCATATCTCCCTGAAGATTGCCACCTTGTGAGATTGAAAATACTCATTAAATTCCATCACCAGACAGGCACAAATGAGAGGGCGATTGTTTTTAAGCATGTGAGGGGAATCATTGGTAAACTCATTTGTTTGGATATCATTAACAGAACAATTGGAGAAGATCTCCAGGGGGTCCTCATGACCTTTGCTCGCAATCTCTTCATCATCCATCAAGAAATATCAGCACCTAATATGCAAGGCGAGACCAATTTTAAGGTGAGGTGTTAATTAACTAACGATCCTGGTTAATGTCTGTACAAGGGCTGAAAATACCTCATGCTGGATCATAAACAAGTGCTAAACCATTCCTTTTTTATCGTTAGCGGTATGTATTTTACAGTGTCTAGGTCAAGATAGCAAGTCTCCCAAGGAACCTGTTAGTTAAATTTAAGTTTGAAACTTTTTCTTTGAAAAGAGACATACTTTAGTGTGAAATGATTTGTAATGTAATGCTCCCGACTGTCCTTTGTAAGAGGCAGGGAGCTACTGGCACTGCCTCAGACAGGTCTGTCACAGTTGTCTGGTTTATTCTAGAGGGACACAATCGAGGTAGGAATCTTAAATTAGAAACAAACTTCTCAGTTTATAATAGCTCCGTAGATTATTAACATGGATTTCTTTTAAGAAGGCAGCCACCGTGTGCTTCATCCATTAGTTCACAACCTTCACTCTGCCACCATTTTCACAAGTCAATTTTGTTCCCAATTTCCTTGTGCTCTGGGGTTCCCACAGCACCTGTCCCTGTGTGCCACCAGATGCCCTGGGGCGGTGCGGGGGGCGTCAGGCTCCCAGCTCCTCACGCTGGGAGCATTCCCCTCGGAGCACCCACCTTTACTCCGAAACTCCTCAGGAATGATCTTGCTGGCAAAAGGCGACAGTAAAGCAGAAATGAATCCAACACCCTGCCCTGAAACGCACACTCGTCACAATGCTGCTTTTTGATTCCAGAGAATAGCTGAACTGTCCAGAGGGAGTTCTCCTGCTAAATTCCATCACCTTTAACTTCATAAAAACTTGCCAAGATCCTGCCTGAAAGCATTTTGTAGGAAGGCGAGCAGCACCATGTTACAGACTTGTACCTTAACTTGCACCTTAACTTGCATAATTTCTACCAGGTTCTTTCCCGTTTTGACTGTGACTGTACTTTCCTCTGCCAAGTGGAGCGTGAAGTGACAGGTTTAGAGAAGATATAATTAAATTTCAACATGTTACAGAATAAACAAACAAACAAAAAGACCCTTTTCCAATGTAAGGGAGTGAAAAGCAACCACTGAAGTAAAGTACAAAAAGGAACTCTTCTTCATAGTGAGTTAACAATGATTTACATATGTGAAATAGAGCAACTGTTAATTAATCAGAAGTAACAATTACAATGAATTGTATTTATTTAAGATTTGTACATATTTACTAATAATTCCCACAACTGTCCTCAAAGTAACAGTAAATTTAATTGGTGCATCATGTCCTTTGTAACACGGGTTACCTTTGCAAGGCAAGTGCTGCCAGATGTGCATTTTGGCTGATGGATTTCATTATAATGCCCATTAAATAACTTGTATTCCTTGAATCTGTTGCAGATGGCAATTCAAGATATCGAAGCAATTCTAGGAATTACAGCAGAAAACAAACTGAAATTGGAAGAGGAGCAACCCTTAGCAGCAGATGCTCTGAAAGAATAGTTAACGGGAAATGTTTAAGTGCCTTATTCTTTATGCTCCTGGAAATGCTTTCTCATCTGTAAGAACAGGTTTGGTTTTCCTTCTGCACCAGCATGTGAAGGAATATTAACAGAGAACAGTTCTGATTTCTAAGCGTGGTGTTTAAAAGAATATCCCTGCTTCCACAAAAATAAACTGCTAGAAGCAGAGGATCATGATAAACACCTCTGTTCATACTGTCATTCCTGAAGTACAGTATCTGAATTTAAAATCTTATTAATAGCGGTCATGTTGTCACTAAATCAAATGAGGAGATCATGCTCCACTGAAGAGTCCCATAACACTAAATTCTCCTTCAAACCTACTTTATTCTAAAACACAGACTTCTGATGTGAAAGTAGGTCCGGTGTTCTTCTACTTATAAGTACACTTAAATGCCATCTTAGCAGTAAGCCCACAACCCAGATGCCTCTTTAGAACTGATTGTCCATGTTATCTTTCCACTATTTCTTTTGTTATCTACAGATTCCTGAAGCATTTTTTCATGGTCATTTTCAAATTACCAGAAATACTAGTAATAGCACTAGTTCAACAATGGATTGTGAAGGAACCATCAGAATTGTACTATGATTGAAATACTAGTAATAGCACTAGTTCAACAATGAATTGTGAAGGAACCGTCAGAATTGTACTATGATTCCCAATGTCCATCAGGTAGATCCTGTATTTCA